ACTTTTTAGCATGTCGATATTTTTATTATGTTGCCTTCTTTGTCTTTGACAACTGCTTTAAACCCTTCATGGTAAAGTCCTTTTTTTCTCCCCCTGTAGTCCCTCCATTTCAAGGACTAAAACAGTCTTGCGTTAAGTAAAACCCTGTGACCAGAACTGAAGGGAAGACTAGGAACAGAAAACTACGACAGGACTTAGCACAATCCGAGAACAAAGCAAAACTGCAAAAGCCTTAGTTGCTTCCCACCTACGAACTTCGTTCAGTGAAGAAAATGTCCACTGGAGTTTAAATAACTAACAGAGTTTGGATGCAAGTGAAAGACGTGAAGAGGGCCCAACTCTCCTTCTGTAGAATCGTCTCCAGTCTAACAACCAGGAAGCTGTTGTAAGTTTAGTCTCAGGTGTAAAATCCGGGCCCTCTGTTGTTGGGAGAACAGACTTGTCTGCGTGACGCGTGTGTCCCCGTGATGGCAATCATTGTCGCTGCTGGCCTTCAGAAGGATGGAGGGTCTGACGGCCTCAGGTGTAAAATCCGGGCCCTCTGTTGTTGGGAGAACAGACTTGTCTGCGTGACGCATGTGTCCCCGTGATGGCAATCATTGTCGCTGCTGGCCTTCAGAAGGATGGAGGGTCTGACGGAGGCCTTTTACGTATTTGTTTTGTGTTCACCCTGTGTTAAGATTTACGAAGGTAGAAACAGCATTACTGAGATGGAACGCTCTGTAATTTGCCACTGTTTGGTTTGATCATGTTCACGTTACGGTTTGTAATTCTGTACTGATGGTAACTCTGTTAAGTACCCAAGCTGCTTGTCTTCCACCAAAGATGCTTTACTGACAGGAACCTGTGAGACCTGCATTTAAACGCTGTTGCATGCGTAATAAAGTGGCACTTTGGTAACCTGAAACTTGCAAGAGAATTTTGATAGTAGCTTTAGAAGACTCAGGAGGAGAAACGGGCATCAGAGTTGGAAGAATATTATAGATCATTCCTTTTTGTGTCGTTTAGAGACTGAGAATTACAAGGCTCCCATTATTTGGTTGCCCCGTCATACAAATTGAAATCATATTTTCTTCCATGCATGAAAAAAACACACTGTTGGTTTTTCCCCTTGGAACCAGCAATCCCAAACAATGGGGGCTTTTCAAAAAATGTTATCACATTTTTAGAGTCTTTCTCTGTAACTGAATTTTTTTCTTATGTGATCAGCCTAGGGCCATTCATTCACACACCCTTGATCTCAGTGACCATTATTTTCTGGATTTCAGTTGCTTGTAGTGGCAGAATTCACGGTGGCTTTGGTTAGGGAACACAGCTAGTCACTCTTTGCAGAGTGTCTGCTCCCCTGGGTCCCGCTGGAACGCGGCAGAGGCTGTGATCTAAAGCAGTTACAAAAACAGAATCTATTTGCTGCTAAAAAAACAAACAGGGCCCATAATAAAAGGGTGTCTTGCAGTCACCTTGGTTCCTTCCATGTAAGAAGTGAATGGTTGTCATTATGGTTAACCAGTTTCTGCCTGTCCTGGTTTGGACATTGGAGGGATGTGACACTGCAAGGCCATGAGGGCAGATGCCTTCCGACTGTGTTGGGTCCGTAGGTTATTCCATTTAAAGAGCTGCCTTTTCCACAAAACTGTTAGGAACAAGCAGTGCTTGGAAGAAACAGGCTGAGATATGTTCATGCAAAAGTAAGCAGAAGGCAGTGGTGCCATCTTGGTGTTTACTCTCTTGGAGTAAAGTGTGAAGGGGCCTGGGGGAGATGGACGATGCCATCGTCTTAGCCAAGCAAGAACTCTTTCCGCAGCAGGCAGCATGGGGTGGGGTCATGCCAGCTTTTAAATACTGGGGACTAGATCACAGGAAAACAGCGTGACACAGGAAACAAGTTCCTATCCCTGGCGGTGAATAGGCACGAGGACCCGATGGGAAGACAGCTCTTTGGTGAGGTTCGGGGTGGGGAGCGCCCCGTTGGCCGCGTCCTGCTGAGACAGTGCCGTGTTCCAACTGTCAGGTGCCTCTCTCCCCTGGCACTGCCACAGGCCGTCTCCTCCGTAAGTAACCCAGGCAGCTGTGAAACCCTGACCTCCACCGAACCTTTCGTGCTTTGGCTTTTTATCCTGTCAGATTAAGTCAACGTGCTGCCCCTCACTGTGAGGAAGCCGTGTGGTGTCTTGGCCAAGAGTAAAAGATCTGGGCTTCAGTGTCAACCACAGCACTTTTTAATTTTATAAATTGCCTTTTCCTTTTTGCTGCTCAAGTTTCCAGTGAGAATCTCTGTCACCGTGGCTCTTGCTATAAACCCTTTTATTTAACTGGCTCACTGAAATTAGTCATAGGAAACTTGGGATTTGGTCAAGAAGCATTCCTTGGAAAACCCAAATGGCTTGGGATAGTGCTTTCAGGGGGATTGCGGAGCAACACTGGTCACCTTAACTGGGACATATCTAGAACCCAGAGAGTCTCTGGGTCTGGCTGATGCGAAGTTCTTCGTGCTGTGAGTAAGAGTGGACCCTTCTCTTCCTACCGTCCCTCCCCCAACTGAAATCACCAAACACCCAGAATCTTCTGAGATTCTAACTTAGAGTCCTTGTTACAGAAGAACTTGTCGCTCTGGAATGTGAAATGCTGCATGTCACAGGGAGCAATTCCTTTAACTTTAGAGCCTTAAGTAGCTTTTGAAAGTACACCAAGACAGTTTCCAGTGGAATTAGGGATGGATAATCTTTTTGGTCACCTGAGGCTTTCTGGGGTCAAATCATCAAGAGTCAGGGACAATCCAGGGGAAGTGGGTCTGCATAACTGGGCTCCTAGAAGTATAGACCGACTTCTCTTTTGCACGGCCAAGGAAACCTAGGGCTCTCTCTTAGACCTGTTGGTGCAGAGGGGCCGAGGGTGAACAGCGCTCACTAAGCAAGCAGCCTGCTCGCAGTGTGGCTCCCCCAGCAGCACGTGGCTCTTCTGGACTCTCCTGGATTCTCGGTTCTAAGTCTGATACCCATAGCCCCTGGCCCACCCAGCTCCCCCTGACCTCGTACCTCTCTATCGGGTGAGTTCTACCTCTTTTCTTGGGCCCAGACAGGTTTTAGAAGAGGTCTGTGCACATGTTTGTGGAGCACAATCAGGTGCGTCATGCTGTGTGGCCGGCAGGCCCCAGCTATGTCGTGCCAGGAGCTCTGGAGCCTTGCCTTTGCCCAAGTCCCCATTCATGACAAGGGATCAGTGTGCTTATGTGGTATTTGTTCTAAAAGTAGCTCAGCTGTTTCTCCTCATACATTCTGAAAAGCAAGAATTATGTTTTGGAAGGCAGTGCTCCTCAAAAATGACTTTGAAAACGTGATTTATTTCTTTAATAGTTTTCTGTCAATGCGACTGCCCTGGCGAGGCTGGCTGCAGGGCTCTCCTCGACCTGAGCGCTCTCCACGGCACTGAGTGCAGATGCTGCAGGCGCGTGTCAGACTGGACAGCTCGCCTGTCCTGTGTAGGAAATTACCTCCTTAATTACCCAGTAGAATTCACTGTCAGCAGACAGGTTCATCTGATTATATAGGACTGCAGTTTTATATTAGTAATTTGCAGACTTTTATCTAACCTGCACTCATGTACAGATTATTAAAAGTTTTAAAATGTAACTGATTAATCAGTTTTGATCAATCATTGTCTTGATTTTTTTAATAAAATGTATATTTCTAATCATATTTTTTAAAGCCAAGAGAACTGGTTGAATGAGTGTTTATTTTCCTGAAGGTATTTTTAAGATAAAGCTTCATAATGGCTGGTAAACTTTGCATATATATATATATGTATGTGGTTTGATATGTATTGTTGAATTTGAAAATCTTGTGTATTGAAACTGGTTTTATACAAAATATTGAATAGTGGGAATTGTATAATTACAATCACGTAATTAAAAGTATTAACCAAACAGCCTTTTGGTTTATTGTATTTACTTGCTGAGCATTCTGAGTTATGGCAGGCAGCAGGTAAAATAGAAAGCAGACATCATCCTTCTTTATTAGTTTGCCGGAGCTGCTGTGACAAATACTACAGACCAGGACTTACGCAGCAGAAGTTTATGTTCTCACTGCCCTGGAGGCTGGAAGTCCAAGGCGAAGGTGCGGCAGGGTTGGACTCCCCTGAGGCCTCTCTCCTGGGCTTGCAGACGGCCGCCTGCTCGCTGTGTGCTCACTCATGGGGTCCTTCCTTTGTGTGCATATCCCCGGTGTCTCTCTGTGTGTCCTAATATCCTCTTATAAGGACACCAGTCACACTGGATTAGGGCCACCCTGGCAGCCTCATTTTCACTTAACCACCTCTTTAAAGACTGTCTCCAAACCCAGTTCCAGCCTGAGGTGCTAGGGGTTAAGGGCTTCAGCACTTGAATTTGGGGGCATTTCAGTGAGTCCCTAATACCTTCTCCAAGGTGAGGTGATGAGCGAGGGAGGGACAGCTGCCGTGAAGTCCCTCCTTAACCTGCAGCACAGACAGGGCAAAGGTTTGACTCTGGACACCATTGATGACAAGATTTGAGTAGGTCAAGACTGTGGCCCCTTTGTTTCACCTGTCAAGGTCTGGCAGGCCTGGCTGGGGCTTCCACCTCCTGACGACTCACCCAGGACACCAGCCCATGCTATTTACATGCCTTCCCTCCTCCTGGCCTCCCTAGCTGGGCAGGACCCTGGAGAGCTCATGTCCACACCTGCCCCAGAGCTCGTGACTGGGCCATGGGACCTTGTTATGTTAAGGAGTTCGGTCCAGTCCCCAAGGAGCTGGTCTTTGATTTGCACTGGGATACGACAAGTTGTGCAGGTAAAACCAGAGACCCATGTTCTCACTCCTCTCCAAACTGACCCAGAGCGCAGGCGGGTGGCTGGGCCCTGCGGCTGGTGGGCATCAGGTGGGAGCCAGGGCACGTCCGCTCTCCCTGGAGGCCGTGTCTCCTGGGCCTGCCCTGTACACACGCTCCTCTCTAGTCTGTAGCCATTTGCCCAAGTGTCTGCCGTGCCGACCATGTGCTAATCCCCTCTGCCTCTGTTTCTTAAGTAAAATGGGAATAGAAAGAATTCTCACTGTGGCAGTTAGTGTGAGAGTTAAATCATACATGTAAAGTGCTTAATACGGTATCGGCACGATTTTCAATAAATTAGTTTTTCATACACTTTAGGTAATAGTGTCTGGATAACAAAAAACTGATTTTGATAGCAGATTGTGGTGCCTCAGTGTCTGATATTTCTGAAACCCGCAGCATAATTTCATGCATGTCGTGCTTTGGATTTGGCGGCTGGCCAGGGCGGGCGTCTGTAACCCTTGACCTTGGTGTTAGGACACCGCGCTCTGACCAACCGAGCTAACTGGCCAGCCCCTGGTGAGAGCGTGTTAACAGAGGTCAGGTAAATTATTTTGACCTGAAGGGGGAAATCCACGCACTGCAGGTAAGTCTCTGGGGAGCAGTTTGTTCAGGAGGAAAGTCCCTTCCTGAGCACTCTGTGAACTGCGGTAGCAAGTCGAGAGGGGCAGAGCCAGTCCCTGTGGAGGTGCTCTCTGACCCCAGCCCTGTGGCCTTGCGGACCCTGTCCCTGCCCAAGCCTAGCTTTGTCCGCCTGTAAAGTGGGACAGGTGAGTGCGCACCCCCGCCCCGCGTGTCGTGTGCTCTCGTGGGTGCGCTGGAGGCGACGCACAGGGGGGACTCTCCAGGCCTAACTTTGAGCTGCTCTGGAGGGTGCCACGATGTCCCTTGCCACGCTCTTCCTGTTCCTGGCCACGTAGGTTGTTTCCAACTTTTTACTGTTATCACTGCAGGAACATTCTCGTACCTAAATACTTCCTGGGCGGTGCTGGTCATTTCCTTAGGATCAGTTCTTACAAAAGGAGTCTCTGGGTCAAAGACAGGCAGCGTTTTAGAGCTTTCGCTGTACACTGCATCAAAAAGCAGCTGGGGACAGTCGCTCAGGGCATGGATTCTGGGCCCAGGTTACTTGAATACAAACCGTTGCTCTGCCACTTGTGTGATTCGGGCCGAGTTACTTAGACTCCCCAAATCTGTTTCCTCTTCTCTGAAGTGGGCATGGCCACGTCTGTCTTACAGGGTTGAATGAGGACTAAACGAGTTAGTATTGTAACCACTTAGAATAAGTTCCTGGTATATACTGACTGTCATATGTATTGTGTTTAATAAAAAAAATACAAGTACTGTCTTCATGCTGTCGTAAGGACTGGGACGATGCGTGTCCCCACGCCACCTTCCTCCCCCGTTACAGCCACTGTGACACTGGCCACAGCACCATGGCCCCTGGGGCACTAGGCCCCCCCCCCCCCCTATAGGTAGTCCTATATTTTAGCTGCCCTGCTATTCAGATTTGGGGCGTTTTGTCTTCCGTGTGGAGTGGTGTCCTTCCGTGCCTGCACACCTGGCCTGCCTCGTCTCTAACTGTGTCTCGTCTCTTTGCTAGCAAGTCTGCAGAGCTTTGACGTGCTCCTGGACGACGGGTGCTCTGTCCACGCTGAAACCTCTAGGTAAGGAGACCCCTGCCCAGCAGGGCCGGGACTGCCTGGGCTGGCCACCATCGGGGCACCGGCCTGGGCCGCTGGCTTTCTTACAATGGCCAAATACCATCTCTTTAAACAGGGAGAGGCTGTGGGTGGGAAAAGAGAGGAGGTAGCGTGGTTTGTGCCTGTTTTACTTGGAGAAAGACGTGTTTGTCCTCACCCTGGGTGTGCTTGTGTAAAACAAAATGGCTTTTCAGGCAGGACCATTCTTCCTTGCGGAGGACGCTCCAGCACATGTGGCTTGTCTGACGTCCCTGGCACCCACACCTACTCAGTGCCAGTGACACTTCCATTCCCTGGGTGGTCCATGTCCTCCTCATGCACCCCCCCACCCCTCCGATTTTCAGCCAACCCTGGGCCGTGCTGCCCCAATTGGGAGCTGCTGATTGGCTTCGCGTATGGCTGTTGCTAGGCAGGGCCAAGTGACAGCGGCAGACACCTGCGGCCTGCTCGGCCTGTGCTGCTCCAGCCCAAGCCCGTGGGCAGAGGAAGGGCCCAAGGCAAGGCGTCACTGAGGGAGGGTGCGAGGTTCAGCCCTGGAGTAGGGCCCCCGAGACTCCAGCGCAGGACCTGGGGTGCGTAAACTGCTCTCCTTCCTGCCTGGCCGTCCCTGCCGTGTGGCCACCATAGAAACCTGCCCAGGATGACAGTCCTCACCTGGGAGCGAGGTCTGTTGCGGCCCGGCAGTACGACATGGGAGCACTGAGGCAGGCCTGAGACTGGCGTGTCCTTCAGTAGCAGCACTTGTGGGCAGGACAGCGCTGGGGGCCGCTCATGTTCTGCTATGGCCAGTCACCACTCTGCCTCGCAGTTCATGCAGGAGTTGAGGCCACGGTCAGCCCACGAAGCTAGTCCTTGTCCTGGACTCAGCAACCCTCCGAGAGAGGTTCTGTTACAAGAGCAGCTCTCACTGTCTCCTCCCTTTTCCAGGGATGGCTGGTTGTCCTGGGCTGCAACCTTTCTACACTGGCTTTTAATGTGGCTCGGGATCCGCAGGGACTAGACCTCCAGAGAAGTCCTCTCCTGGGTGCACAGTGCTCTGGGGCCGGCGGGAATGCTCTCCGGGTGCAATTGAAGCCCGTTTCCTCGGGCCCAGCCCAGCCTCGGCCAGTGTTTTGCCTCATTCTTCTGGCAGATGTGGAGGTTTTGGTCAGGGCCTCCGGTAGGTGGCCTGGGGAGGGACAAAGCTCAGCAGGGCCGTGTGCTTGGACTTCTTATGTTGGGGCCCCAGTGACTATCTGATGGAAGCCAAAGCCCCCTCTTCCAGAAGAGCCTCAGGCCCAATGTCACAGGCTGTGTGTCTCCAGGACCCCTCACAGCCTCGCTGGCTATGCCCCCAGCCCTGGGGGTTCAGGTGATGTGTGAGGGACCCCCAGTGACGACCCCGAGTCTGGTCCTTGTGGCTTGCCGGCAGGCCTCCTGGTGTGCCCACTCCCCCCACCGCCACCACAACAGGCGGGCCCTGGGCCATTTGCATCGCCCGGAGAATTCAGGACTTGGCCCAGGTGCTCGAGCAGCTCTCCTGTTGCTGCCAGGCTAGGCCGGGCCGGGTGTTCACCAAGCCCACGTCCATGGGAGTCCAGCCGTGGGTTGGGTGCGCCCGGGGCGGGGCCCAGCTAGGGCCCCCCCTGGTGGTGTCCTCAGTGGCTGTGCTGAAGGAGAAACAGTGGACCCTGCCTGTGTCTGAGAGCACTGGGGGACTCTCAGAAGCCCCATGGGGTGTACGTGGTGCTGCCATTCCGTTCTCCCAGGACAGGCATTCCCCAACTGACAAATGGCTTTGCACTTTCAAAGGGATGCAAGTCAGCCCTCTGGAATCGGGGACAGTTTTGCAAGGAAACAGCTTAGATCACTGGCCCCTTTGTGTCTAGGTCAGGGTAGTTCGTGTCGCCTCGAATCATGGGAAACCCCGCGGCCTGGCAGAGGCTGCAGCCCTGGGCCTCTCAGCCTCACCGCCTGCACCTGTGCATAGGGCCCAGTGAGCCTCCCCCATCACACGGTGCCACTGCGCGGCCGGGGGACACCAGGGGCTGAGCTCAGTGCGCACGGCTGGGGCGCACGCAGGCCTTCCCCTGTCCCCTCTCCTGACAGCTTTGCCCAAGGGACTAGTAATTTCCCTGGAAATTCGAGGAACCGGTACAAGCATGGGGCTTGGGGGGCGGGTCCTGCTCCCGCTGTCCCCTTGTCCATCCCTGCCCAAACCCCAGCAAGGGAGCGCAGCCAAGCGTCCTGCATGAGCCCCCGGGACTGAGGGGCAGCCCGAGACGGGCAGGGCCGCGGGCGCTGGTGCTGGGCATGGGAGGTTGGGCACTTTCACCTGTTTTAACAATTAAAAAGACCACAAGTGCCACATTGTTCCTTCCTTTGCCACATGAACATGAGCCAGGAGGGCCAGCCTGGGGCCACCGCTTAGGACGTGCCCCGTGGCTGGACACCGCCCCACGCACGACAGTAAATCAGGTGTCATGGGCTTTTCAGGTGTTAACAGCGCTGAAGGGAATTCTCTTCCAAGGGATCTGTTTTGCTGACCTTTGAAGCCATGGTGAGCAAAATGGCTTCCCAGGACAGCTCCAACCTGCTGAGCCTGTACAGCCCTCATGTCGCACCTGGTGACTGATTATATGACTAAACCCAATATCCACCATCACAAGATTCCTCCACTTGGGTCAGGTAGTCACACCACTGTCTTTTCCAGGGAAAGGGAATAGACCGTCGACAGTACACCTTAGTACTCAGACATTAATAACAAGAGACCAAAAGTAGGCTGTCACCCAAAGCAAACCTCCGTGACTGACGGTAGCCGGTCTGGGGACTCCGCTTGAATTATTCAACAAGATCGTGACTCCTTCCCACCATGGCTGGGTGTGACCAAAAGAATTCTGTTTCTATACACAGGTGGAGGGAAGCCAACCTTTATTTGCACTTGAGTTTCATGGAGAGCCATCCTAGACAGTGGAGCAGAGTGGGGAAAAGTACAGATCCCGGGAGGTTCAAATGCCCCCACAAGCATGCTCACTGTGTGACAACGGGCAAGCGTTACCCACGTTCCTCAGTGAAGCAGGGGAGCGTCACCCCACTCCCAGCAGCTGTTGCAGCCGCCCGACCCCCGCCCCTCCAGGTGCTGCTCCTCTTGGCACCTCACGGGCTCTGTGGGTGACATGGGCCCTGGGTCTCATCTCTGCTGTTGAGGATGGAACTCCGTGTGAGTCACTAAACCTCAGAGGTGACCCTAACCCCAAACTTTCACCAAAGGCAATAAAGAGGAACTCTAGAACTGGGGCAGGGACCAAGTGAGAAAACCTGCATGCAAGTGTTCAGGAGTCCTAGTCATGTGCAAGTCTTGCCCAGGACAAGGACAGAGGGGCTTTGTACACTAGTTTTGAGGGAGAAAAGGATACGGTGGTGTTTTTTTGCCACGATCCCTTTTCATTTGGTGGGTTAAATAACATTTTAAAAATCATATACTTCTCATCATAAAAACCACCCAAACACTAAATATGCACATATGTACTGCATGTGTGTGTGCATGCACGTGTGTACTTAACACAGAAACCATGAGGTAGTTTAAATCAGCATTAAAAATCAACACTTTCTCTAATTCTTTGCTGGAGTGGTGATCAGTGGCTACACAATAACTGTTTAAGATTATTGGTTTCCAGGAGAAAATAAGACTAACATGTACAAGTAAACAGTAAATACAATTGTATTTTAATTTCCTGGTCGCTGAAAGCTAGGCTGTGACTGTTTTAAACTAATAGTTCAAGTTCTATGTATTTCCTCTAATACTTCCAATATCTACACAACAAGCCTCCATAGATTATATTTTACACCTTATCTTTCCATGCTTTTGTGGAGCATTCAGTGAGTCTCTATGTACACATTTAAACATTATTCCTGAACTTCACTTGGAATTCCTTAAGTAAAAAAATAGCATTCTTCTTCTTGGGAAAGTGCTGGACTAACCCCCTGGCAAGCAGTGCTTTCCCGAGAGCACCTGGAGAAACCCCTCTATCCCACACACCTCAAACCAAAAAAGTGTAACAGATTCACACGACATGGGAAAAGCGACATCTATTGTTCTGAGTCTCACTCTTCCCACAGCAAGAAAAGTCTCTTCACAGGTCCTCTAGTGCTGTCCGAGATGCCGGGGAAACAGGGCTCTTTCAAGCCAGAGCAGGGAAGTCTTCGGGGTCATCTGGGTTGGGAGCAATGTCTTGTATCTAAAGAAAAAAAGGACAGGTTTGAAATGGCCATTTCACCCATTGCTGACGTGGCAGGCACAGGGCAGCCCACTGTGTGGAACATGCTGGCTGTTCTCGCCCAGAGAGGAACCAGGGCCTGGCACCAACGGGAGGCAGGCCCAAGCAGGAAGAGGAGAGTCATGGGCCAGCCTTAGAACACAAACCAGGGACGGTGTCACTGCCCGCTGCCCTGCAGACCTGCCTCCTCCGCCAGGGAAAGGGCCAGAGCTGCCCCCCTTTCCCTGCAGAAGCACTTCCTTCATCCAGTAAACACAGAACGTCCGCTGCGTGCCGGCACCAGGACACGGGGAGGAACGCGGCCAGCTCCTGTCCTGGGGAGCTCACAGGCAGCGCTGGGGAGACACGGGGGATGGCAAGTCGTGGACTTCAGGAGCGATGTCCTGGGAGTTGGGGGCCCATGTCCAATGTAACGTGGCGGCAACGTGGACATCGCAGTCAGGCACAGTGTTCCGGAACAGAAGTTCTTCCTGAGAAGCCTCAGCAGAGGAGCAAAGAGAACAGTGACCTGAGCCCAGTGGTTCTGAGCACAGGTGAGTGGCAGGATGGCCCGGTGGAGAGGCTGGTGGGGCCAGGTCACCGAGCGGTCTTGGCATGCTCCCCACTCTGCAGGTGGCTGGAGCACTGCTATTTGAAAGGAGTGAATGTACATTTTCTATTCCCAGAATACATCACTTTTCCAACCTGGTCCCAAATGTACCCAGAAAAAAAGATAGTTGTCTTTTTGCAGCGCTTAAGCAGGCACTTCCTCCAGGGGCTTCCTGTGCTCCTCAGGGTGAGGTGATCTGACAGCAAAAGGAACATTCCACGACCACCACAGAGAGGGTCTGCTCCTGCTCCCTCCTCAGGAGGAGGCATGTTGGCCCGTGCTGGCCACAGAGCCTCGTGCCCAACTCCCGCTGTGTTCATACCACATTTATGAAGTGCCTGTTACCCTCTAAGCATTGTGCGTGACACTGGGGAAACCAGTAATGAGCAACAGCAGATGCCGTTTCTGTCCACTGGAGAAAAATCAGTAACTACACCAGTGCAAACGCAATTGCAAATGGAGATGATGCTTCAAAGAAAAGAAAATCCTTTGCTTGAAGACCCACAGGTGCAAAGGCGGTAGCATCTGGGAGAGCTGGACGGGCAGCCACGCTGGCTGTGGAGTGGGTAGGGCAGGGCAAGGTGGGCCTGTAGCAGGCCAGTCACAAAGAGCCTTGGAGCCTGAGGAAGGACTCACCATTCCAAATACCCCAGCATCAGACCCACGCTAGCAAGAGGAGGAAGCAACTGCAGAAACTGATGAACCTCCAAAATTAGGCCACTGTGGGCCCAGGGCAGTCTTGTCCTCTAACTTCCTTCCACAAACCACCCAGCATTTATAAAACAAATACCTACCACCACCTCTGCTCTGGGTCCATAGTTCTCTGCCCTTCTGATCCTTCCCCGGCCTCCCCGGGTGCCACCTCTGGCTCCACGCCCAGGACGAGGGAGGCTACCAAAATTAATCTCCAGCTGGGATGTGATGTCATTGGCAGCTTTCCGGAAAACGTGGGAATCCTCCTCACAGTCATCCTTTACCATCTGAAACATAGTCACAGCATCAAATCCATAGCCGTCTCCCATGGACACCCATTAGGCTCAGTGTCCTAGGACACGCCGCTATGAATGCTGCAGGAGCCACAGTGCCATCAGGGTCCCCAGGCCTCAGGCTGCAGGGCTGGACAAAGGAAGACGGCACTGTTGTCCTGTTTCTAATAGTGAGTTGTGTACATTTCAGTCACCATTCTTGCAGTGACAGCCTTAATCCAAACAACTCTGAACTTTCTATTATTCCAAGTGAGACCGAATTTCTACAGTTTAGCAGGTTAAGAGATAAGACTAACAGCAATCAACATAAATGTTTAGGAGGGCATTTCAAAAAGTGTGTGGAAAAATAGAGTTAAGAGATAGTACAAAGGCCTGGCCAGTTAGCTCAGGTCGGTGTACTGGTAACACCAAGATCAAGGGTTCGGATCCCCATACTGGCCAGCCACCAAAAAAAAAAAAAAAGATAATATAGTTGGTTCCTGAATATTCTTTTTTAACTGAGTGCAAAAAACACTTATCTAACCTGTTTTCTTAAAGCTTAAAAATTAGTAATCTGGAGAATAGGATAGTATAGTGTTGTGTGTTCCTTTAGCAATTACACTCATAAAGAGTTATGTTATGATTAACACATCATGGTCACTCTACCGAGTGCGCCACAGGGCCGGCCCAAGATAATATGAACCTTTCCATGAACTTTTTGAGGTAACCCTGTATACCTAAATGTACTTTGCTGAGATTTAAAAGCTTTAATTCCTGAATATGTATTTGTTCAAAAATGCTGCTTTGATAAATGAGGAAATACCACCTTCCTAAAATAGAATTTGATGGAGAAATTCTTTCAACGTGAGTGCTGACTACACAAATACTGTTTGTTAAAAACTGCATTATTACAAAAAAGACAAAAAAAAAAAACCCTGCATTATTTACAATAAACAACTCTGAATCAAAATATATAGAAATTTTGTAAAACAACAGAGAATAGTTACCTGAGTGTTGCTACCATTGCTGCACAAAGAAATCAAACTGGGTTTTTGTTTGGTTTTTTTTGGGGGGGGGCAGCTGGTAGTTCAGGGATCTGAACCGGTGACCTTGGTATCATAACACCTCGCTGTAACCAACTGAGCTAACCAGGCAGCCCTCAAACTACTTTTTTTTTTTTTTTAAAAGATGACCGGTAAGGGGATCTTAACCCTTGACTTGGTGGTGTCAGCACCATGCTCTCCAAGTGAGCAAACCGGCCATCCCTATATGGGATCCGAACCTGCGGCCTTGGCGTTATCAGCTCCGCACTCTCCCGAGTGAGGCATGGGCCGGCCCCTCAAACTACTTTTCAAGAACTGCTTTAGTTAAAATTCTTTGAGAGACTACAATTATCAGCTCCGCACTCTACCGAGTGAGGCACGGGCCGGCCCCTCAAACTACTTTTCAAGAACTGCTTTAGTTAAAATTCTTTGAGAGACTACATTTTATTTTAAGAGGTCAAATAAATTCTATATCTTATTAAAAGAAAACTAGATTAAATCTTATCTAGATTTGATTTGGCTTCAACTCTATAATGGATAAAACAAACAAACAAAAATCATTGTAAGTAAAATACAAACCTACAGAAAAGAACACATGCCAATCTCCTAAGTGCAATAATGTCATGAACACGTTGACCCTTTTGGCCATATGTTCACTGCAAGTTTCATGTTTAACATTGTGTGCCCTGCAAAGTTTCTGATTAAAATAATGCAGGGGCTTTAGATAGATGGACTCTTGAAAGAACAATTCAGGAGCACTGGCACTCTGGTAAAAAGATAAGCACACACAAAATAGGAAGAGGCAAAATAAAAAACTATTGCCTTGTTTAGGAAACGACTGGCCACCAGTGAACTCCAGTGGGAAGTGGCTGGTGAGGTCTGCCTGCTAAACCCTGCTGCCACCGCCTCCCCCACAACAGATGCTGTGCAGTGGGACGCGGAGCAGACTAACAGTCCAAGGGCTAGGGTCCACTCCTAGCTCTGTCTGGCCCTGGCCAAAGTGCTTTAACTACCCCGCTCACTTCATGGGATTGCTATAGGTCTGAACTTTGCAGATAACAAAGTTCTGCATAAACGAGGTATTATTCTAGTGCTTTTGTCTCCTAGGGTGCCCAGAACAAAGTAAATGACCCCAAGATTGGGCTTATGTTGCTTTAAGAACAACTCCTGGCTAAAATCTTCAATGCCATAAGATTAACAAGAACCAAAGTTGTGTGCTTTACTGAGACCAAGCTCAATGACTCAGCTAACCCAGTTGCTTCAAATATTCCAGCAGACCTTGAGCCAGGGAGGATGAATCTGATGTGGATTAAGGAAGAGCAGCTTCTATTTTTACCTAACATGTCAGCTGCACATTTCACATCCTGACAGCACATTTGTTTGAGTCAAAGGTTCACTTACAATGCCTAGAACAAAAAAGAACCAGGAAAGTTGACAGGTAACGACCCAACCCAGCAAGCGAATGGACTTGCAGAAAACCTCACAGAGATTTCCAAGAGAATAAAGCTCTGGCGTCCTTAAAAAAAAAAGCCATTTCTAGTAGAACAGCTCAAAACTTAAGGAGCTTGGACAAACCAAACAAAGAGGGTAGGAGGGGACTATGTCTCAGAAATGACCCTCTAATTTAAGTATTCACTCAAAGAACACAACTAGCCAAAGTGTAAATGGGAACACAGACAAAGCTACACAGCATAAAACTGAAAATCAATTAATAATGCACAGCAGAAAGGGTGTGCTCATCACCACCATCTAAACAGCGGCCAGCATCAAGCTGTGACTGAATGACACAAATTCTAGTCCTACAATTAGAATGCTTCAGTGTACCCTATGTTCAGCAGCTTACAGAGAATATGACTGAATGACCCATGGTCATCCTTATCAATATATGCTGGTAGATATTTCCCTGAAACACCTCCCTTCAAAACAAAGGCATCTGACAAAAAGCTGAATGTAAACCTTGAAAAATAAGGCTTACACACACAGAGGAACCCCACAGCACGGCCACTTGGTGTAGTGGTGCCTGAGCATGCTGTCAGGCAATTCAGGGCTTTCTTCTACAGCTTCTACAGTTAGGCAGAGGGATCAAGCTGCTGAAATAACATAAGAGAGGCATCATGGTACACAGACCCCAACCATAGTTTAAAATGATCAACTTCTCCCAGTGAAATGCTCTTATTAAGAATTAGACCTGAAGGTAATCTAACCATGAAAATACAGATTAGCTATCCTTTGAAATGGCATTGTGCAGGAAACATTCTGTGTCTCTCACTTGAGAGACAAAAATGAAATACAGTCAATATACAGGATTCGTACAATCTCAGCACAGTTCCAAGGTGAGCAGAAAAGGCACCGCGTCTCTAACTGCTTTGTACTTAAGTGTCAACACATCACGTTTCAATTCCTTTTCTTCATGAGCAATAAAGAGACAGTAAAGTTAGGCATACATCATCTCTGATTGGCAGAAAGAATGCCAACTTTAAAGTTCTACTTTCAAAGAAGTAGTGGGAAGTTCCACTTTGTTTCTAATAAGGGAAAAGTAAAGATCACCTCTACATACAAAGTGTAATGCTTACATCATCTCTGTATTTTGACTTGTGAATCACCACTGCTTTGGAAGGAACAGTGGACTCTGGTTTCCGGATGTTAAACTCAGGCTTTGGTCTGGTCTGTTCTTGAAGATTTTTCCACTCATCTAAGGTCATCTCTTGAACTTGAGTTTCTTCTTCCACCTCCAACTCAGGAACTCTATAAAGACATATAATTTTTGATGGAACTGAAATGTCTACCTTACTGAAGAAAAAGTTATAACCATTAGCTTAACGTACTTCCGTGGTACTACATCTCGAATGTAAATAAGGTAGGAAAATCTCTGAATCATAAAACTCCGTCTTTTACTTTCAGCATTTTATGTCATCGTTGCCAACTGAAGATACGTCCTGTGTTCAAAGCAGTCTTTGAAAAATGGGAGCATCAACGTCCCCAGTGACGTCAATGTTACCCTTTGCCACTGGCACTCCCTTGCAGACAGCTTTAAAGACAAAATGAGATAATTGTGGAAGCAAATGGAAGAAGCTATTGAAACAAAATACAGGAAGCCATAAATAGAAGTTTTAAAACCGTGGGTCACAAATGCATACTTTTGTAAATATCCTCTTTAAATTAGTAAGTTTTAAAAAGAGAACAGAAGACAGATATATAGATCAATAAAACAGAATTCACAGTCCAGAAATAAACCCTCACATTTATGGTCAATTGATTTTTTTTTGACCAAGGTACCAAAGACAATTCAGAAGAAGAAAAGTCTTTTCAACGAGTGATGCTGGGAACTGGATATCCACTTGCAAAAGAATGAAGTTGGACCCCTACCTCACACAAATATAAAAGCTAAAAGTGTAAAAGTCTGAGCAGAAAACATGGCACAAACTTCGATGACTTTAGAGTACGCAGTGGTTTTTTCCATACGACACCAAGAGCATAAGCAACAAAAGAAAAAGCAGACAAACTGGACATCATCAAAATTAAAACTTTTGTGCTGCAAAGGACACCATCAAGGAGAGAAAAGGCAACCCACAGAATGGGAGAAAATATTTACAAATCATATATCTGATAAGGGACTTGTATTTAGAATACATAAAGGACTTTCTATGAATTCTAGATACCAGTCCTCTTCAGTTGGGACAAATAAAAAGTAGGCAAGGATTTGAACAGAAGTTTTTCCAAAGAAGATATACAAAGAGCCACTAAGATGTGCAACTCACTAGCCATCAGAGACGCAAATCGAAACTGCAGTGAGTTACACCACTCCACACCCACTAGGATGGCTACAATCGAACAGACATTTAACAAGTGTCGGTGAGGATGTGGAGAAACTGGAACCCACACACACTGTGGGAATGTAAATGTAATGGCCACCTGCAAAACAGTCTGGCAATTCCACAAAAAATTGAAACACAGAACTAGCATATAACCCAGCAATTTCACTGCTGGGTACATACCCAAGAGAAACGAAAATGTGTCCATATAAAAACTTAAGACACGAATGTTCATAGCAGCATTATTTATAACAGCCAGAAAGTAGAAACAACCTAAATGTTTGCTGACTGATGAAAATATGGTATATACTTTTTTGAATACTTGAATTATTTGGTAATAAAAAAATAACGTACTAATATATGTTACAATATGAACAAACCTTGAAAACATGATGCCAAGTGAAATAAGCCACGCATTTACACGAAATATTCAGAAGAGGCAAATTCGTAGAGACAGAAAGCAGGTCAGTGGTAGTCGGTGGAGGGAGGGAAGATGGGGGGTGACTGCCTAATGGGTATGAGGTTTCCTTTTGGGGTGATGAAAACATTCTGGACCTAGATAATGGTGATGGCAGCATAACAATGTCAATGACTAAATGCCACTGAATTGTACACTTTAAAAGGATTAAAACTAAATTTTCTGTGATATGTATTTTATCACCAAAAAAAGATAACATGAAAAAAAGAAAGAAATGTGGTACTGACACATGCTACAACATGGATGAACCTGAAAACATCATGCTAAGTGAAATAAGCCAGATCCAAAAAGACAAACATTAAATAATTCAAGTGAGATGAGGTACCCAGAATAGGCAAATTCATAAAGTAGCACAGAGGTTACCGGGGGCTGAGGGGGGGTGATGGGGAGTTAATATGTAATGTATAGAGAGCTTCTGTTTGGGATGGTGAAAAGTTCTGAAGAGGCATGGTGGTGATGGTTACATACAATGTGAATGTAGCCAACATCACTGAATTGTTTATTTTAAAATGATAAAAATAGCGATTTTTGTTATTTATAGTTTATCACAATATAAAAAAAAAGTAGTATATCTCAAACCACTGAATTGTATACTTTAAATGTCTGAGTTGTATAGTAGGGGGGGAGTACAGAGGAAATTAAATCTATATCTTCACTGAAGGGCTATTGTAATTCAAGGTTCTAGAAATATACAGGTTAATGATGTGAAAATATAAGCAAACTCAGGAGAGAAAATCATAGAGCATTTCAAATAGAGATATTTGCAGTGATTTTTAAATACCAAGTTGATGGGAGAAAAAATATCAAAGCATTGGTTGCCTCTGAAGGAAAATGAAGGAACATTCTAGGGTGACTGGTAATGTTCTGTATATCGACAGGAGTTTGGTTTCTACAGTACATGCATTTGTCAAAAGTGACTGTACACTTAAGATTTGTACATTTCACAGTACTTTATATCAGAAGAAAAAACTGTAGTCTCTCTTGCTTCCTCTCTCCACATGATCAGCTTGTACCCTCTGGCCGCCACGAGTAGCAGCAGCCTGAGGCAGTGCCAGATGCAGCTGTCCCAGAATTGTAAGCCAAGTAAAACTCTGTTCTTTATAAATTATAAAAGAAAGAAAGATTTTTGGTGATGGGACACAATAACTGACTACATTGTATATTGACAAAATAAATAAATAAATAAATGAAAGAGAGAGAGAGAGAGAGAGAGAGAGAGAGAGAGAGAGAACTCTGTTCTTTATAAATTATAAAAGAAAGAAAGATTTTTGGTGATGGGACACAATAACTGACTACGTTGTATATTGACAAAATAAATAAATAAATAAATAAATGAAAGAGAGAGAGAGAGAGAGAGAGAGAGAGAGAGAGAGAGAAAGAAAGAAAGAAAAAGAAAGAAAGAAAGAAAAGAAAGAAAGAAAAAAAGGAAGAAAAAGAAAAAACTGTAAGCAAATATCAAGTTCCATTTAATGATATTCATGTTGAACTATTTAGGAGCAAGCGTATATGATGATTGATAATGGATAGGTGCATGATAAAACGAATATATTAAGATATAAATGGTAGAGTTTAAGTGGTGGTTATAGGTGTTCACTGTAAAATTCTTCAAACTTTGCTGTTTGAAAACTTTTATAATAAAATGTTGGAAAATATGTACTAATATTAAAACACAGATCTCAAATATATATTAGCAAAAGTATGAAAATATATTAACACTTTGTAATAGCAAAATACTAGAAACAAGCCAAACTTATCTAGAGAGGAATTTGGTGGGGAAATTATGGTACAGCCACATGGATATTAAGCAGCTAAAAAAGGAATGAGGAATATCTCTATATACTGCCACGGAGCTCCTCCTGCACATAGTGAGAAAAAGCAAGGTGAGGTGTATAGTATGTTACCATTCACTCAGGAAACAAGGGAAAAGAAATATACATACATATCTTAAAAAAAAAACAAAAAACTGAAATATAAACCAGTTAAGAACACGGATAGATGGGGGCCGGCCTGTGGCTCACTCGGGAGAGTGCGGTGCTGATAACACCAAGGCCACGCGAGTATTTGTTATATTTAAAAATTGCAAAACTATTTTTTTTTTAAAAGATGACCGGTAAGGGGATCTTAACCCTTGCCTTGGTGTTGTCAGCACCACACTTTCCCAAGTGAGCTAACCGGC